GTTTATATTCATAAACAACTTGCTGATATTTGCAATAGGTGATTATACCTTTGCTAAAGAATAACACAAAGAACTATCTCACTTTTTGAAGTTTCTAATATATTGCAGAAACATTATGAAAATACAGCTTGCCACTATCTGGAGATTAACTGAAGTAGAAACAAGCAAACTGTAATCTCACTATGAATCTGCAAAATTTCAGGCTGAATTTAATTATAAATTGGTTTTTTCCAACCTACAATTCTCCACTGTTGTGGCTTCACATTCTGCAAGTTGAGTTCCCAAGAACATTGGAGAATTCCAAATTGCAAAATGCTATTTCATAGTTTAGAGTTCATCAGAATTCATTATAAAGCATCCACTGTACACACTGCACTAAATCTGAAGCACTCATCTGAAGTTTTCAGTTTTGAAAGGTAGCAATGGACATTTTCATATTGCATGATACTGTGAAACAAACTAATATGGCATCAAGACTATGCAGTTATAATAATTTACAAATGACTAGCAGATATAATTATGGACTAATTTTTAAACTAAGTTAATAAAGATAATGAGTTACAGGTGAAAAGATTCTGCCTATAAAAAGTAACAACTTGTGTACTGAGTTTTTGCTTTACAAAAATATTGACATAATCCATGAGTTATTCCAGTTTGCACCAATTTTTGTTAAAAAAAATACTATCAAATTTTGACTTGCACCTTTAATGCAACCAAAAGCACCATCAAGGATACTTTTAACGTAAGAAAAGATACTTCTTGGAATCATGCCCAGATACCTATTTGCAAAACTAATTTTTGACAGTTAGCTGGTTTGGATATAAGGCTAAAGTGTAGTTTAGCTGTACAAAAGTGAGCCACAGTAAACTTTAGATTTATGTATTTCCCTTCTTTTGATGTACCTGTGAAGGGAATACTGAAATTTTAGATTATTTTGGGAGCATTTTTCATGCATCTTTTGCTTTTCTTTGCTTTTGTTTTTTCTATTTTCTTCCTTACTTTTTATTAGCTTGTGTTAACTTTTAACTTGTTTAAAAACAAAAATTATACCTAAAAATGAAATTTAGATTAATTTTGTCTAGCTCAGGGTTGACAAACTCGCAGCCCGCGGCCCAAATGCATCATGTGCTGGCCACACCCACCAGTTTTAGCAAAGGCAAAAATCGCTATACATCATGTGATGAAAACGTGACATGAGTTTGACACTCCTTGGCTAGCTACTCAAAGAAAAGTTTCATGTTATTAATCAGAAATATGAGTAGTTGGAAAAACATTGAGCATTAAGATACACATGAAAATCATTTGTTTTAACTAACCTTAACATGGCAAGTGAAATTGCACTTCATCTAGAATAGAAATGGACACTTTTGATCTTATTAGATGCCATTTCAGATGACAAGAGGTGGGGTAGCATTAAATCCAAGGCTCATTGAAATACATTTTTGTGAAACTGAAACACAATGTTGTATTATGTCCAAGTACAATGAAACAAGTTTTACCCCCTTCAAGAAAATCTTGTGCATAAGGTAGATTACTGTAGATTACAGTATTTATAAAGTATATACTGTAGTTTATATGCTTACAAAGCAGGGAATATTTTTTGCTTAAACACCATTGACTGTAATTGTAGAAAGTACAATGTATTCTTTCCAACTTCTTTAGGACATGTCACACATTATCTCTTCTTCAAACCATAATATTATATTAATTTTGTAATTACACAATATTTGGCACTAAAAGGTTATAGCATTCTGTGATGCTTTATTCAAATGCAGTAGATTAAAACACCTATTCTCTTTTGCTGTTGTTCTGAATGTAATCTTCACAGGATATGGGATATATACCTTTTTGGTATTTTTCCATCTCTCTTCCTCCCTCCCTCCCTCCCTCCCTTTTCTTTTGTTTTTGTTTTTGCAATTGAAATTTAATCATGATTATCATTTAATTTACATTTTTAATAACCATCCAAACTCTCAATTCTTTTTGAAACTTGAGGAGGGAAGAGGGAATCATCTGCATAGAATTTCTGTTAAAAAGTACCCTGAAGTTGTACATAAAATATTGGTTTTTGTTTAAAAAAAGGAAATAAAATTTCATAAAATAAAAATGAATAGTTTCTTTGATTATAAACTGTAGAGAAAAATTATTAATGCTTTGTTCAATGTCCCTCATTTGAAAATGTTTCATGATTTACCTATGCAAGATAATTATATTAATTTCTTTCATAGAAACTAGAATTCATATAACAGTAACATCGCCTTGTATGAATTTAGTTCTGACAATTTTTTCTAAACTGCTGCTTTGTTTTGTAAATAAGTATGCAAACATACTAAGCTTAAAAAATATATGTAGGGATTTATCTAAACAGGAAAAAAGAAAAGAAAACCCTACTCACTAGTGTGTTGGATGTCAGTCATTCAACCCTTCCTGCCTTATTCTTAAATTCCGTATAATGCACTTTAAAATCAGAATAATCAAACTAAGCCTATTTCTCAGTCAAAAATAATGATTCATTGAGGTTTTTGTATGCTGCTTCTTTTAGGCTTACTGAGATAGACTGTGGTACAGTGGATCAAATGATAATCATGATGGTAGTCAGACTAAGGACACTGCTATAGCTTCCTGATCTGCTGTAGAATGAAATTAAGTTATTGCCACGGCCCTATTATTACCCTTTTATTTGGATGCATCTTAGCCGTTGCACTGAGTTTTCTTTATTCATTCTACTCATAGTGTTGTTTCATACTCCAATCGCTCCTGTATAAGGGCGTCATCTTTATACTGTAGTCGTGGGGGAGCAGGAGAACATTCAAAAGCTAAAATGGCCTTTCTGAGGCTCCTGTCCAATACATGTCTTTCCCATGCTGGATACCTATTCCTGAACAAATCAATTTTAATGACAGATTCTTCAATCCTTGGTGGTCGGGATGAAGGGGTTGAAGGTGCAGTTGGTCTCACTTGAAAGACAGGTACACACCCATCTCTCTCAGCAAATTTCTGATCCCGGTCACTTGTGACACTCCGATTATTAGAAATAGACCTTAAAGTACTTGATGCTACTTCAGCAGGAAGAGTGAAGGCGGTTACAGTATCCTCACAAGCACAGCTTGGTGACTGCCCAAATCGTGGTCCATTAGGATGAAAGAAGGCATAGTACATCAGCATAAAAACAATGCCAGTTAAAAAGCTGCTGAACACCACACATAGTGCCGGTATGGCAAATGCATCAGAAATCATAGGAGCCTTGTACAGATACCAAAGAGCACTCAAGGCGGTGTTTTCCAAAAGGATCACAAAATAGTAAATGAAAAGCCTACAACGTGTCCTTCCCTCCTTGACGTTGAACCAACTAAAGATATAAATTATTCCAACAACCATGTCAAACACAATCTCTTCCCACTTTGTAATGCAGAATTCTGTTTCACAATGGACAATCCAGAAAGTCATGATACACCAATGAAGGACTATGAAGATCCCAAAGTATAGTTGAAAAACAGAGGCAAAGAGAGCAAAAGTAATCACCCTGGCTGCGATTGTGAAAAAGTGCCAACAGAATTGAATAATTACAGCCATGTAGCTGATAGGTTTCTTGTCGTCCCGGGAGTCACGAAGAGCTTTTTGATATGAAGCCAGTGCCCATGCCAAAGATACTAGAGATGCTGCTGCAGTAAGACCTACAGGAAAAGAAAAGGCAATAAATATAGCACATGCCATTAATAAAGATGGACACTTTTGAAAAAAAAAACATGCATAATCTCATTACATTTCTAGTAGAAAGGATCACATTATGTACAATCCCGTGTATGTTTTCTTCCAGTGGGTCCACCAAAAGAAGAATTATGATGGAAGGTTGTAATCTGATAAATGACGTTTTGTAACAGGCATCTAAAGATGCAGGGGAACTTTTAACTACTGAAAATGTTTATTTAAGAACTATAACTGTAATGAACTCATTAAAACTTACAAGACAAAAATTATCCTACAGGCAGAAACTGTAACAGTATGTCAGCAGTATATCACTAGTAAGATAAGACAACAATATTATATAACAGCTTGAAATACACACACACACACACACACACACACACCTATTTCCAAAGACTCAGAATTCAATTAAAGATGCACTATGTGCTACCCTTCAACAGATGAATTGTGGGAGAACTAGGACATTTTATGGAAAAATATCTAAAGATTAAGATGAAAATTTGTTTGAAATGTTCTTATTTCAGCACGGGCATAAATTTAGCTAAATTCCAAATTCTGATGGCCTACCTTATTATGATGGTGTTATTAGATTCAATCCATATTCCTCGAATGTGAGAGGAAACAGATTCAATTTTTAAAATAAGAAATGCCTACTTGTGCAAGTGAAAAATGTTTTATCTTATAAATTCAAATCCAGTGTCCCAGCAATTGTGGACAATATACTTGATATTTTGTTAAGATTTAGAAAATCAAAATAATAATGGCCTGACATATGTATATACTAAAAATATATTGAACACAGAATAAACATTTGGAAAGGTCTAGTTCAGAGGTCTGCAGCTCTGGAGCCACATGTGGCTCTTTCAGTTCTCCGCTGCGGCTCCCTGTCAGCTGATCCCACCACCCGCCCCTCTTCTCCCAGTCAATCCTCACCTGGCCTGAGAAGATAAGGGCAACGGTGGGGAATGGAGACTTGTTCCATATTCCAGAGCGGGAGCAAAGCATCCCTGTACTTGTCTTTGCACAGTAACAGCATTCCGCCTTCATCGCGGTACATTTGCACTCAAGGCAGCTTTTGCCACTTCGGGCCACTTAAGTCACTTCGGGCTCGGAGATGTTGCCACTTCCATGGCCTGCTTGCTGCTCTTATAACGCCTTGTGCAGCACAGTGAAATTTATCATGCTTCACAATGGGGGAGATGGGGTCCCCTCCTCCTCCTGGAGCCCATTATGATGCAGAGCCACAATGTGACCCTGCCCCTAGCAACAGAAGCAGCATTGGCTGCGGTGTGAGTTGGGTTAGTGTGTTGGGGCGGAGAGCAGGTCGCGCATCTCCCTGAACAACCAAGGCACATCCAGCACTAACAAGGGCTGGAAGAAGGATTTTTATGGGCTTTGCTTTTGGAGGTTTTATCTCCACTCCCTTCCAAGGTATTTGGATATCTTGTAATCTCGCCCAGGTTTTATATGAATAGTTCAGTCCTGCAAATGATTTTATAGAAACTGCATTGGCTTTTGGGTCCTTTTTGCCTTAGATTCTGATGAGACTGGCTGTGGAAAGGGACTTACTCCCAGAGTTAGCCTTAGATTTTAGAAAGTATTTATTTATCAAATCTAAATAGCCACTCAGCTCACCAAAGGCGATTCTTGGTGGCACACAACAAGATAAAACTATATAAACATATAAAAGATGTAAAACATAAAAATCCATATTAATAAAATAGCCACCCACTGTTTCCTGCGGCAGTCTATTGGGGAGCGAGACCCAGCTAGAGATGAGGTGTCAGAGAATCAGAATCAGAATCAGAGAGAGAGAGAGAGAGAGAGAGAGGGAGGGAGGGAGGGAGGGAGGGAGGGAGGGAGGGAGAGAGAAACAGATAGACATAGAGAGAGAAAGAAAAAGGTGAACAACATTTTTACAGAACTATAGATACATTGAGGCCTTTGAGGCGGGAGGCGAGGCGTGGCCAAGTGTGACAAGAGGTGGCTGGGAGGGGAGGGATGAGGCATGGCTGGGCATGGCTGAGGGTCATGTGACTGGGTGGGAGTGAATGATGTCAAGTTGGCCACACCCACCCAGGCTTTGTGGCTCCCGGTGTTTTCTTTTCTGTGGGAAACATGTCCAAATGACTCTTTGAGTGTTTAAGGTTGCTGACCCCTAGTCTAGTCCAACACCCTGGTCAGGGCAGGAATTCAAGGAGAACATTCCAGTAAAGGTCTGTCTAGTATTTGCCACTTTTCAGGATTGGTGGTTCTACTATTGAGAAGGTTTTTTTTTCTAATATTCAGTCATAATCTGTCTTCCTATAACCATTATTTCATATTCTGCAATGTGTAAGAACAGATCTTATCTTTCTTCAGCAGAAAAGCAGCATCTTTTCAGGTATTTGAAGAAAGCATCATTCTGACATCCTCAGTGAGCTTTTCTCAAGGCTAAAACATAAAATCCTTCAGTCTCTTTTCATAGAATTTAGTTTCTAGTTTTGATCATTGTTATTCACCATCTCTGAAACCATTACAATTGCTCTGATTTCTCCTGAAAGTGCAGTATATAAAACCTAACATTATATCCCAGACCAAACCAACCTCACTTCAAAGGAATGATTAATTCCTTTTGAATTAATTTTATGGCCAAACAGGCTGAATATAGGAACACCTCTGTTGGAATATTGTATTTTTCTGTTAAATCATATGGCAAGGCAGTTCTGATTAAATATGTAGGCGAGCAAGAAAGTTGGTCAGGTTGTGAGTTTTCCCAAAAATAACTGTACAATTTTCTTTTGCTCTTCCCTCAACCCCAATCCCAGCACAGTCCCAAGTAATTACTATTTTCCCAGACAAGGGAAAGTACAATTATCCCAAAATCTTGGAAGGATACACTAAAATGTGACATAGCAAAGCAGTTTATACTAATGTTGGTATTGTTTTTTCTTTGTTAAAATTAAAACAACCATACAGATACTGAAGTATTAAAAAGATGCATGAATATTTTGCTAAGAAAAGGACTGTTTTTGCTAACGAGTAGGGTATATATCACTTACATGTAATTTGTTAAAGCAGAAAAAAAATATTCACACAATTCACAATACATATAATCCACTAGGTGGCACTGCAGCACAATTTAATGTCTGTTTTGCTTTTGACTGTAAACTTGCTATAATAAGCAATTTGTTAGCTATCCTATGAACAGGCCTAAGTGAGTAGGACATGATAGTAGAGATTAAATGTCTTTGAAATTGTGAAAGCAACCTGTTATGTTTTCTTAGTTAAAATTCTTGTATGTAGAATGCATACATGTGGTTGAGAAAGTGGTTGCAGAGCAGGTTTTGGAGGGCCTTGAAAAGAGAGGATTATCTGGATCTTTTCAGTAGACCTAAATATGGGACAGAAACAATATTGGTCATGCTTTTGGATGAACTCTGGTGAGGGTGGGATTGGGTTATGCACTATCCTTGTTCTACTTGATCTCTCTGCAGCTTTCAATATTATTGATCATACAATCTTGGCTCAGGGGATTGGAGATGAGTGGCATGAGTGGGGTTGGCATCCTTTTTTCAGTGTTGATTCAGCCATTGTTGCTGTGGAGGGGCAGAGATCCCATCTTTGGCCCCTGTTATGTGGAGTACTGCAAGATATTCCACATCTAACGTGAGGCGGAGTGAGCTTATTTGCCTCCATGGGTGAGGTTTCATCAGTACGTTAATGATACCCAGTTATACATGGCTGGTCGTGATAATTTAAGCAATGCTGTCAATATCTTATCCTGGTGTGTGGAGTCTTTGAGGGTCTGGATGGGAAACAACAGACTAAACCCTGAGTGATTATGAGGTTTTTGTCTGTCACGTCTAGGCCTATGCCATGTTTGGTGCTGGATGGGTTTACACTGTCCAGGCAGACCCAATGCAAAATCTGGGAACCTTCTCAAAGAGTAGGTTCTTTTGCACATCTTTGTATTGTGTACCATTGTGCCCCTTCCTAGATCAGGGGGCTCTTTTCACAGTCACACGCATTCTAGTAATCTCCAATCGTATCACTATGAATGCACTTCACATAGGGTGCCCTGGAAGAGTATCTGGAAGCTTCCTCTGATGTAGCATGTAGTGGTGCAGGCAGGTGTGTGTACTTCTAGAACAGAAGGTGATATACCTCTCTTCTGCAAGATGCATTGGTTGCCAGTTTGCTTCCAGGTCAAATTAAAAGTGATGAATTCCCTTCCCCCCCATAACTTTATTAAAGATTATATTATACAAGTACAACGTATGCAACTATATATATGTATGTATGCATGCATGTATGTATGTGTATGTGTATATGTATATGTATATATAACACAATAAATAAATATATTAAAAGGAGAAAGAAAAAAAGCTGTTGATTTTAAGCTTTAAAGCCCTTCATGGCATTGAGCCAGGTTATCTGTGGGCCGCCTCTCCTCATTTATATCTGCCCATCCCATCAGATTTTGTTCTGCCCCAGGTACGGACCCCAAAGAACGCAGCACACACAAAGTCTGTACAAACCTTAATTTACTAATTAAAGACTACTAATGAACTTTCTTAGTTGTTCGAACACAAGTACAATAAATCAGCCTTTTCTGAACAAGGGCTGTTAATTTAACTTCATTAACAGCCGACAAGAATTCAAAGAATAATAACTCAGTTCTGAGGCACAGTATTTCAGATAACCATAATCTTACTATGGTTGGCAGGATGCCCAGAAACAATTTGCAGGAAAACTGATAAGAGAGAAATAAGAGCCAAATTAAGATGCGAAGGAATTTGAACGAAGATGTTTACTGCAAATTGCATCAGTCATCATTCTTCCTTAAATAGGCTAGGTGAGTGGCCAATTAGCCCCAAGCCTTACTCTTGAGGAGACCTCCTCCTGAGGAGCCCCTCCTGTCTTTTCGCAGCTCTGCACGCTCATGCATCGAGAAGAGGCTCCTCCTCTTCTTCCTCTTCACTTATGGGAGCTTCTGGAGGTTCTGAAGGCCCTGGCTGAATCCCCGCCTCTGGTACCACATCTTCTCCAGCCTCCTCATTGTCCGATTAGAGTGCCAACTGCACAGGCTACTGGCGCAGCACCACACCAGCCTCCTCGCTGTCAGAATCAGCTACTAACTGCACAGGCCACTGATGGGCCACAACAGATCTGGTAGAGGAGGCATGTTGCTGGTGCTGTCTGTTAGGGAGCTACATTTGGTAGGTCCCAGGCATGTGCCATGGCACCCACTTTATGGAACATTCTTTCCCTTGAAGTGAGGCTGGCTCCCTTGCTGTTAATTCTCCAGAAATCCCTCAAGACCTGGCTATGTCATCAGGCAGGAGGGTCCCAGGGGACTAATAGAATCCTGAGATGCCTCCATGGTGAACATCCACTCCATTTTTTTAAATGTTCTTTTTTACATTTTAATAATGTAAAAATGTTTATATACTTTTTGTTTAATTAATTGTTATATGCCAACCAGAGTTGTTGTGAGATGGTCAACTATATAAATTTGATAAATAAGCAAATACATAATACTTGAGAAAAATACTCAACCACAAAAAAGTGGTAAAAAAATCTTATTTACGTATTTATTTATGGCAGATTTAGACTTCAGAAAGGAGTATTGTTGGGAAAATAGCACAGAATGGGGAAAAAACAATAAAAGAGAAGCTAAGGGTCAGTGAGAATATTTAAAGTGTTTTAAAACTATATTTTTATATATGTCTATTCATCTTCTCATTTAATATGTATATTCTACACTTTCTAATCCATTTAGAATTGCTTAAATAGATAACAACATTTCAGTCAAAATACAGTCAAAACAATCAAATAATTGGAAGAAGCAATAATGCAACTAAGCATTAAGATGTTAAAGAAAAAATGCAATTGAGAAATAAATGCCAACCATACAGCTTTCTAGTAATATCTAGATATAGACATAGAAATGAATCTTTCCTTTTCATTCACAAGAGTTGTGCAATTCTTTTGTTTTCCACCCTTTGTTTAAGCAAATTAAAATGGTTACCTACTTGTGATAGAGCTTAGTAACAGACCATTAAATTATTCAAATTTTCTTGTTTTCATTGTAATAATTGTTCACTACTGAAAATCTTAATTCATAAACTTATTAAATATGTCAAGTATTATGGAAAGCCATATGAAGCAAAGAGATGTTACAGTTATTTTAAAAAAAACGAAGGGAAGTTATTTAGCATTTAAAATATTAAGATATTTTGTGCCTATTTCTAAAGTTCACCTGTGATTCTTTCTCTCAGAAATAAGGATTTGTTTAAATATAACATTCTCTTTTTAACTCACGAAATACCCCCAAATTTATCTTGACCTGAAGATAAGATAAGCCTGAAGTAAGGCATTCTCATTCCAAAATTTCACTGAATATAAGTCAGGATATTAACAAGGTTTTATGGTCCAAACAATAAAGG